CAGAAGGCTTCTCGGGAGCGGCTGGAGGGGGAGAGGGTGGAGATGATCCGACAACATCTGTGTCAATACACGCAGCTTCGGCACGAGACAGACATGTTCAACCAAAGCGTGAGTCGCCCGCCCTGGGCCGAGGACCCCTGCGGGGGGGGCGGGGGGGGACCCGGGCCAGAGGAGAGCCACCTGGCGCTGGGCGCTGGCAGGTGCCTGGGCCCGGGAGCCCCGTCTTGGGATGGGCTCGCAGACCTCCCCTGGACGTCCTCGTGAATGCCTCCCAGGCGACAGGGACGCGCGTGAGCCGTCAGCCCGAGGAGAAAGCAGGTCAGGACAGTTTAAAATAGCTGAGGCTTTACCGCCTCCCGTGGCAGATTTCTTACCAAAAAATAAAGAATCCAGAAAAATTCAAACCCTCTAAAGTGAATGTTCCGTTGGCCCTGTTCTGGGATGGTAAAGGTGGGGACGGATGGAGGAGGAGGCCCCGGATCTGGAGCTGGGCCACCCTGCCCTGTCGTGCAGGCCTGTGGGCTGGGGGCAGAGGGCACTGAGCGGGACTCAGAGTGGGGCCAAGAGCCCCGGGCTCCCCGCCCTTGCGACGCTGCGCACGGCCGTCCCTCACGGGGGCCTCTGTTGTCCCTGGCGCAGCCACCAGCTCTGACTGCGTCCCCTTCTCCGTCCCTTGCAGACAGTCGAGCCTGTGGACCAACTGCTTCGAAAAGTGGACCCAGCCAAAGACAGGGAGCTGTGGGTCAGAGAGCACAAGACGGGCAATATCCGCCCCGTGGACATGGAGATTTAGACGGGCACACACGGCCCCGGGGGTCCTGCGGAGGCGAGGGGCTGGGGGTCCCATGGAGAGGAGGCGGCCGTGCCCGCCACGGGGCCCGCTGCCGAGTTCAGCTGCCCTCCCACCCCCTGTCTTGGGCCTGGTCCACTGAGCTGGGGCGATTCCAGAAGGGCGGCCCTGCTGGGAGCTGCCGGTGTGCCCAGGCCAAGAAGACGGATCCACAGCCCTACCCTTGTCTCCGAGGCCGAAGCCACCCCCCCGCCCCCCCGACTCCTGCACCGTGCTTGCAGCTCCAAGGACAAACTGAGGCTGGAGCTTTGTGGTCCCTGCTAAGAACCGGAGGGGTCCCCTCCCCACCCAGAACCACCTGTCATATACTTAGGCCCCTGGAAGCCCCAAGGCCCTTTGTCTAGCTGGCCCCCTGTGTCCCGGGCTTTGGAGGGTCACGGGAGAAAGGTCCCTGTCTCCAACCACGTATCAGGATCAGAATCGTGGATCGAAGGCACCGTTCAGCTCCCAACAGCCCGCACCCAGAATTCTTTGCAGCCCACCCTCTTTATTGTTTTCCCGTTGCATTCTGGGAGCCCGCATCCTGGCTCTTCTTGGCCCCCTTTCCACCGTCTGGGGTCTTGGGAATAAGGCCTGGCTCCTCTCTACCCAGACTGACCCTGCCTGGAGAGGTCAGGATGGAACTACCTCATTCAGCACATCAGCCCCAAGTCAGAGTGTTGAGTCGCGTTTCATATTAGGTCAGGCATCTTCTGTAAAGTCTCCGGGCTGGAAACCCCAATCCATCCAACCCTCAGCTGCTTCCTCAGGGAAGCTCCCTCCGGCCCCCCTCGCCGCCCCCTTCCCAGGCTCTTCGCGGGGCTGGCTTAGTCCCCTGTGGGAGGGGGGTTGGGATGGGTCTTTGTCCCCACCCCCCTACCCCCCGCCCCTGCAGAGGGCTCCACCTGCTAGTGCATGGTGGGCGTGGGACCCCATGTGACTTTCTCTCCCTAGTGGGCAGACTCTCATGGTCACAGCGGGGTGTCCCATCCTGAGCATGACGTGGGAAGCATTCAGCACACCGCTCATCAGTCCCTCCCTCTCTAGAAACACAGCAAACCCGTTCTCCACCATGTCAGACCCTGAGAATCCGCACCAGGGGACCGGAAGACGAAATGACACCCCTCGCTCCCCAAACGTGATTACGTGGCCAGCAGGGGGCAGATTCTAGCCCAGAACCCACGCCCCGAGAGCCCACGCCCGGAGAACCCATCCTTCTTAGCTCATCTTTCAAACCCTTGATTACTTTCAACGTGCAGGACCCACATGCGCCCTACAAGGGCAGGATCCTAAGAGCACAACTCCCCGGTCCCTCAGTCTTCATGCTGGGAATTGAGGACTTACTCATCTTGAGTCTTTTGGCACCTCTTTCGCTGGGTCAGAATTATGTGCTCACAGTTTAGAATAGAAAGATGCCCAATGTCCTAAAGTAAGCCACACTCTGTCACTTGTCCTATTGAACCATCTCAACCAAAAAGGTCAGCGCGGAGGATGGATCTGTCCCTGGCAGGGAGGACCGCTGCTTCCGGATCGGGGGTTGGGCAGGGACACCAGTGACCGATTTGAGGATATCATGTCTTGGTTTCTCTATGAAAAATGGGTGTTGGTAGTAATTGCCTTGTGGCTTTAGTGGACTAATTTGTGGTTGATTTTCAAATGTTCAAAGCCAATAGCCTTGTTACTAACACAGATATTTTGAGTGTGATACGGCTCATTGGTTTTTGTTTTCTCCCTCCCTTCTGAGGGTTCCTGAGTCTTCTGGTCCTCCCTGGGACAGGGGGTGGGGGGCTCTCTTGCCTCGTCCAGGGGAGCCCGAGTTGGCCCAGTGTGGGTTTTCTGAAGTCATTCTTCCCTCTCCCCCCACCCCCACTTCTCAGCTCACTCTCATTAGCCTCTTCACATTCTTTTCTTTTTTCTCTATGCTCCTTCATTCATCAAAGAGCTTAGTCAGCAATGTGCTAAGTTCTGGGGACAAGAGAGGGCAGGGGAAAGACCACCGTCTATTCTTCTGCGTAGACTTACGTTTTCTCCAGGGTCTCGCAGGTCCTTAACCTTGGCCTTCACATACAAGCACTCTTTGCAGAGTTGTGGTTTCCAGAGATACTCTCTGTCATGCTGGTACATCTGCATTCATTCATTTGTTCACTGAGCAGACCCTTGGGACGAGCCAGGCATCGTGCAGGGCACCAGAAATGTAACCACATGCGAGACACGCGCTCTTCCCCGGTCTCCTCTGTTCTCCATGTAGACAAGAGGCTCTAAACCTCTCTGGAGAATGAGAGCATGGCACCTCTTCCACATTTAACCAACTCGGAGCCTAACGTGAACATGTCATCCTAACATGAACCACTGCCGTGTAGTAGTTCCCCGCTGGGTGGAAGGTGGACAGCAACAAGGGTATATAATCACCTGGTCCTCAGCGCATGCAGCCCGGATGCAAGTCGGACCTCAGAGATTTCTCTCATTTCTTTTAAATAACTCTCCTCACTTGACAGAGAAGAAGAATGAAGCCCAAGGATGGCCAGTGAGCCCAGGGAGTGAGGATCGGGGTCTGTTAACAGGGCTTCCGCCCTGGGTGAACCAAGATGAGGCTGAAGTCTAGAACATCCCAAAGTGCCCTTTGGAGTAGCGCTCTATCCGGTTGTTGCTGTTTTATTTTATTCTTGTAAATTCGGCGTTGAGGTTATAAGAGTGTACAGTGGGGCTTATTCAGAGAGTGTCTAGGATGTTCCTGGGCACATCCATTGTTCTCTAAGAACAAGTGAGCCCCTTCTACCTGCCCTCCTACAAGACATGGATGCACTTAGTTTTGTCTATGAAAACCTGATTTTTTTGGGGAAAAAAATCTCTAAGATAAATGGTGTTCAAAATGAGTTGGTTGCCACAGCAACCTCCAGGAACAGCCACTATTCCTTCCTTCTGTCGTTTTTGATCAGTATTGCAAAGCCTTGGCCAACCGGACCACAGGGCCAGCTCCCCGTGGGACCACCTTGGGCCTTCTTTCTACGCGCCCCCCCGCCCCACCCAGCGCCTGTCGGGCCGGGAGGATTTCTGTACCAGGAGGCGCTTCTCTCTGGGGCTGGTTAATGACCAAGGCGAACAGAAACAGTGTCCACACTCACAGACCGGGGGGAGAAGGGGGGTGTTTCTCTTCCCTTTGTGAAAACCAATCAATTACTAGATTAGTGGATGGGTACCTAAGAATCTTGGCGAAGCCAAAGTCCCTTCTTGGAAACACTAGCCATAAACTTCAAAGGACATCAAAGACTTTGGCTTGTTGAAGTGATTTGACTTCCAGCCGCGAGTGACCTTGAAAGGGAGAGTTTAAACAGGATTCTGCAGACCCACTGGTGGTTATGTAGGTAGGGAAAGCACTTCAGGCGTGTTAAGTGGGGTACAGATCAGCGTATTCCCCGAATCCTCCGACCCCTCCCAGACCTACCGCCTTTTTTTTTTTTTTTTAAGATTTGTTGAGGTGTTTGACATACCTACTGGGGTTTATTGACCTACAGTGAAATGCACCCTTTTGAAGGATAGGGTTCCGTGAATTTTGACAAACCTACAGTCTTAAAACCACCATCAAAATCATCATCCTATTTCTATCACTCCTGAAAATTCCCTCCAGCTCCTTTAGAGCCGATCACCCACACCTGCTCCCCATCCCGCCCCCTGGCGACCGCCGATGGATCATCGGACCCTACGGTGTTGCCTTTTTCTAGAATGTCCTATAAAAGGAGTCACTGATGTAGCCATCAAGTACGACTGCTTTCCCAAAGCTTCATGCTTGGGGTCACCCACGTCGTGTGCGTCCCTAGCTCGTGCCCACGTCTCGTGGAATCCCGCTCTGTTGCATGGGTGAACCACGTGCTTCCTCGCTCATGAAATGCGTTGTTTGTCCTGGAGGCTCCTGGCCCAGGGTCCTCAGCTTGTTTGCACGGCTGCTTCCTGTGCCTCCCGAGGCTCCCCCAAATGCCAGCCTTGCCCACAGTAGTTCTTGGGGCTCACACTTGCCCTTGTGGTTCATTTCAGGTTTTTGTGCAAAAAGGGGCCGGGGATTGGGGGAGGGGTGCCTCCCACTTCTGCTGCACCCTGAAGCTTGCACCTCGGCTGGTAGATCCACACACTCCTGGGGGGCCCTCGCTTGAGCTCACACAGCCTTTGGCTTCTGAGCATGAGGGGGCATGGAAGGCGAACGAATGAATTGCAGGTGAAGACGCAGTGGGTGACCTTGGGCTGGCCATGACCTTTCCCTGGGTCTCTGTTGCTCCATCTGTAGGCTGCAGGTGTACCTTCTGGTCTCCCCAGGCTCCTCTAGCTACTGCACTCCCTCCGCCCCTTCCCGTTTTTCGGGGTCTGTACCCGACACCATCACACTTGACCTGGGCCCCATCGGCGCGGGTTGTGCGTGGTGGTGTCTGAAATCCTCCTGAGAGGGATACCCTGGCACTTCTCTTACTTAGACACGAATGGAGCTAAAATGAAGTTTCCCAAGCTGTTGAGAATGAGGTAGTTCCTCCTAGGGCCCTGAAGGGAGCACTCATACGTCATTACCTTTGGGGTCTCGCCCCCTGATCTTTGATCTCATGTCCTGAGGTCTATTTCCAAGGAGCCAGGCAGGCATGATGGAGACAGCCTCTTCCCGTGAGCTGCTTGGCACTGCTGGAGGCTTGCTCAGCTGGTGGTCACACTGAGCCAAGCCTGTGTCTGCAGCCCACTGGGGGGGGGGGGGCGGCAGATGGTGGCAGAGATGGGACCAAACCCAGCCAGCACCGGCCAGGCTAGGGCATGACCCCCAAGGTGATGACTCCGCCAAGCCGTGTCTCGATGGTGCCCTGCTCGAGGAGCTGTGAGCCCTTGGAGGCAACCAGGCAGCCCTCTGAGCAAACGGAAGATGTTCCTGGGGCCAGGGTGTGGGCCATAGAGCTCAAGTCTGCAGGATCCCATTCTTCTTGGGCGCATCCGGGTTGTTTTGCCAGGCAGGACTCTTGGCATCCTGCCCCCACGGGAGTATTACTTCTGTCTGGCCTTTCCTGAAAGTGGAGGACCCAGTGCTGTTGAGCGGGTCTGGGTGAGAATAAGACAAGTGACAGGAACCAATGTTTTGTTCTCTAACCCTTCTGATGCCGGGGCGTGGAAAGGAGCCTTTGTTGGGAAGCGTCTCTGAGGGAGCTGGGTTGGTGATGAGCTTTGGGTCTCTCCCTGTGTGCTGTTCAGGGGACACTGACCCTTTGTGTTGGAGGGACATTTCTAACAGGATTGCAGTGGTGGAGGGCAAAGGGTCTGGGCACATGGGTGCCGTCATGGGGATGGAGAGGGAAAGCGTTCGGTGCCAGGGCAGGAGCAGTGGACTGGCCCCACTCCGCCGCATCGTGTGTCCTGTAACCCGAAGTGAAGTCACATCCCCTGCCGGGACCTCCGTACTCCCTCGTTTGTCAAGTGAGCGGAGACACATCCTTTCCAGCAGCATCACACGCAGCAGACCGGCTCTTGGGAGCTGTGGCCCCCAGGCAGCCGTGTGGACCCAGGAACAGACATTCAAAGGGACCCCAGCCATCCCTTGGTGACAGGGGTCCCAAACTTGCATATCTTCCCTTCCCTGGGGACGGAGATCATGGTGGGGGGTGGGTGGGGGGGTGGGGGGACAGCCCTTTCACAGATGAGCACATCAGCAAACCCTATGACAGTGGGATTTTCTAACAGAATAAACTTGCTTATTTGGTCTGTTTTCTGTAACTTTTGCTAAATACTTTATACATTTTTAATGTTAAAAAAAAAGCTGTGTCTCCTGCCAGCATTCTTCATCCCGGTATGAATGTGTTTACGCCGCATTGTATATCCTTCCATCCTCTGGCTGCCTAGATCAGTAAATAAAATTGATGTACTATAATTTATAAGTAACACTGTTGAAACTCTTGATCCCTATGGAGGCTGTAATCTGCCCTTCCCCGCCCCTGTCCCCCCGTAATAGCATTTGTGTGTATTAATGCTAAAGAATTAAATGTTTAAAGGGTTTAAATTTTGAAGGCGTTTGCTATATATAATTGTTCTGCATTATTATAAAGCATTTTTAGGAAGTGAGATGCTCTCTCATCCTCTTCCCCCCCACCACTTTGGCTCTGTGTGTACACTTAAGATGCTTAGATTCATCCCATGTAAAATAAACTGTCCAGAGACACTGGGTCCTGCTGGATGACCCTCCTTCCTGGAGGGTCTGTCACCCTTTCCTTTTACAAATGGTCTCAGCAGTCCTTCCAGGCTCCCAAGGTTGGCGATAATCTTGTGCCTGATGTCTTAGCAGAGGGCACCTGGGTGAGGACCCTCCCACACAGATGGTCACTGTGCTGCTGGACCCACGCACCTGGCCCTTCTCTGCCCCCTCCCCTGGCGACTTCTGTCCCTGTGGACAGAAGGGGTTCCTGGCTGTTATTTTTTTCCCCATCCATCCATCCATCCATTTATCCATTCATTCATGCAATAATTAGGGAGCACCTACTCTATGCCAGACACCACTTTAGGTAGTGGGAACACATCGGTGAGTGGAACAGATGAAGAGCCCCACTTACCTGGAGCTGGCTTTCTAGCAGGGAGAGAGACAACAATAGTCCACAGAATAACTAATCCCATGTAGGTGCAGAAGGTGTGAAGTGTTAGGGAGAACGAAGGACCAGGCAGGGTGTGAGGATGGGTCGTTTCAGGGTTGACCCC